CATAGACAAGCAAAATAATGCACCAGTTATATGATCAAAGTGGCGTTGAACAAAGCTCATAGACAAGATCTAGGAAGCACAGATACGGATACGGGATACGGCGATATGGATACGGCAATACGCCAAAATCTGAAAAAGTAGGATACGAGTACGACGGGGATACGTTTTAAAAAAAATATATTTTTTTATAATTTTAATAATGTAATATGCATGAAAATAAAACCTAAAGCAAATTAATAAATAAAGAGAGGGATTCCTATTAAGCTAAGAGCTTCAAACATTCATAAAACATCCAAAACTAAAAGCAAAAGCAAATGCAAATGCAAATGCAAATGCAAATTAAACATCATCCTTACATGCCAATACCAAAAAAAGAATGAGAGCAGAGAGAAGAAACGTGAGAGATTGAGAGAGCGAGAGAGAAGCGAGAGAAACAATAAGGATACATCATTTTGACAAATTCTATTACTTTAACTCTCACGATATTCCTCTTATCAAATAACTAAACAAAGTATTAGAAGTAATATGTGACTTCGAGTATCTGATACTTCAAAATTAAGTATCCGATATTCCAAAATTAATAAAATTTAATTAAGAAGTATCCGATACTTTTAAGAAGTATCCAATACGTATCCGTGAGTATGTAAGGAGTATCGGTATCCAAGGAGTATCTGATACAGATACGTCTCCCTTTTTGAAATGACTAAACCAAGCCCGAGGCGACTACTTCAAACCATACAAAGATTTGCGAAGACAACATACTTTCCCCGCAAACTCCCCTTAGCCTGAAAATTAGGTGGAGGATCCATGTAGATATTCTCAAGTTTATCCCCATGGAGAAACGCATTCTTGACATCAAGTTGATGAAGAGGCTCATCAACTTGATGTCAAGAATGAGCAGTAGCCAAGGAAACAAGCAGGTGAACAAAGGTCAACTTAGCCATCAGTGCAAAAGTTGCACCAAAATCTTTATTAGGCACTCGGGGGAAGCCTTTGGCAACTAAGCGAGCTTTATAGCAATCCACAGACCCATCAACAAGATATTTGACACAGAACACCCATTTGCAGCAAACCGTCTTCTTAGCAGGAGGTAACGGAACAAGTTCCCAGGTCTGATTTTGTTCTAGAGCATCCTTTCAGACTGCATAGCAGCAACCATCTTGGGATTTTGGAGGGCCTTAGAGACAGAGCAAGGGATAGAAACCGACTCGAGTTTGCCCAGAAAGGACAGATAAGAATCTGTAAGACCATCATAAGAAAGATATTGGAAAATAGGATGATTAGTACTAAACCAGCCGAAATGGGAAAAGGAGCGGCAATCTCGAATAGGATAACAAGAAGGGCGAGGAGAAGGGGAAGGAGAATTACTTGACTTGAGAGGGGAAGAGAATGTTGTTAGAATATATGTTAGAATTATTCTATTATTTATTTCCTTATTTAGATTATATTGTGATTCCTTAATTAGTGCCTTAGGGCTTTCTTTGTAATAGTTTTGGTTGGTTAATATAAAAAGGTGTGACCTAAGTTACCTAGATCGCGGATCATTGTGGTATGCAGAACAAGAACGGGAATGTAGTATGCCATGTCTTGCGGAATGTGGTACGATAGGGGTAGACTTCTTTAGATCGCTTAGTCGAAACGAAATATGTTTGTTCGGAACGTGAAACATTTTTTTGGATCGTTTAGTAATATTTATAGAAATGTATGATTGTGTACATGTAAGACTTTATATATATATATATATATATACTTAGAAAATATGAGGAAGAAGAACTTCGAAAATATGAGGAAGAAGGAATATATTTCTGTTATATTCAAAACTTCTTATTTTACAAGACCAAATGACACTCCTTATATAGGAGATATTACAAACATCATTATAACCCATTATATGCCACTTACATATTATATATTACCACTATCTACCACTAACATATTATATACATGCCACTATCTACCACCAACACCACTATCACATATTCTGTACATGCCACTATCTACCACCAACACCACTATCACATATTCTATACATGCCACTATCTACCACCAACACCACTATCATATTATATACATGCCACTATCTTATTATTAACACAAATTTCCAGCATATATTTTTTAATCAAATGAGATTTTTTCATCACAATGGAATTATAGAAATTAAATTACTTGAACTAATTTCCATACTTGCAAAAAGTCTATTCCAAAAACATTAATAACAAAATGATCCAATGTTTATAATATTGCAATAAAAAATAACTAACACAAAAATAAAACTAAAATTAAAATGTTCATCATAGAAGGTAAGTATTCCTAACTCTTAAATACGGTTGTGCGAATAACCGACTACCCGATGAATCCGAATAGGACCGACCGACCCAATTATAGCACAGACGGTTTCGAAGCCCTAAACGGTAGGCTACAGTTTGAAATTTTCAAATTTTGTTGAGATTCGGTCAAGTACCGATTTTAGCATAATTGTAATGGATGAAACCGATCCGACCAAAATTAGTTTATATTTTATATTTATATTTATGTGTGTGTTGCCATTTGATAGGTTACTACAAGTCTACAAGTACTCTTTATCTTTTCAAGACTTTGACCCTTACCTTCCCAAGACATTGATTACACCACCAACTCATTATGTTAGTGTCAGACACTCTATTCAATATACATCATCACCGTTCCATTTCTTCTCTCTATTCCATTCAATACACCACTGACTCTCTCTCTCTCTCTCTCTCTCTCTCTCTTTCTATTTAATTCTTTTTTCATTTTTTTTAATTCATCATTGTTTTCCACCATCTCTCTCAAAAACTCTGCACCTCTCTCTCTTTCTCTCTCTCTATTCAATTCATGACTGATTGTTCTCCAATTTCTCTCTCAGATACCCAAATAAATCACGACCTTTGAACTCTATAACTCTAAACTTCTATCTACTCTCTCTGTCTCTCATCCTCTCACACATAGAGATCTTAGTTCTAATTTATATCTATGGCTACTGGGCTCAAGCAAAGAAGATATTGTTGCAGGAAGGAGCAATAGTGGCCGCTGAAAAAACAAAGCGAGTGATGGCAATGGTTGTCTGTAAATATTACCGATTGATCACAAATCTATGTAATACAGGTCTTTGTCATTCATTTTTTTTTATTTTTATGGTTTGTTTCCTCTACTCTTCTCAAAGATCTACGTATGTAAATATATATACATAGATGTGTGTATATATTACGGTTTAAAATGGAATGGAAAAAGTTCGATCTACAATTGTTTTTTCCTTTTATCTTTTGCCCGTTTGATATAGTTCGGTTTTGTTCGATCCGACCACAAAACTGATCAAACCGAGTTCTGCGGTTTCAAAGCATACATCGGTTGAGAATGGATGAGTTTTTTTCAATCCAATTTGGTCGGGTCGGGTCGGGTGACGGATTGATGGGAAAACCGAGCCAACTCGACCCGTGCACACCCCTACTCTTAAATTGAAAAAGAACAAAAAAAAAAAAGAAAAAAAAAGAAGTTATGCCAGCCTTTTCCCTTTATCCTTTGTGGATGATGATGCTCCATCTTGTCTACAGTTTGGATCCTTTCGTCTAGATGTGAGTGCTCCTGTTGAGTATCATCTTTATCATCCTCTAAAGATTGCCACCGCATCTCTTCTAATCGCACTTGGGAATCATCAATCATTGTTTCTTCTGGATTGACATCCCATTTTTTGAATGTCCCTTCTCTATGGTTTTCTTGAAATCATGATAATAGCCGAATGTTGGAATGAATAAACACTAGCTTGTCCGCTTGTGATGCATTTAGCCTATTTCATTGCCAAAAATAAATAAATTAATTAAATTAAAAATAATCATAAAAAAATAATATGCAAAACAATAAATAAAATAAGATCCAAACTATAAAATAAAAATAAAAACAAAAACAAAAAACCTATTCCGTTTAACATTGTCAATATACGAATATGTGCTCAAATTTCTTTCTGCAGATGATGTAGTGATTGGTTGGGATAAGACCTTTCGTGCAACTTCTGCTAGCTCTAGTGTTTTTGATCTATATGTTGCCCACCATTCTATAGCACCTATAGTAGAATCATCGACAAAGGCAACAACTATAGAAAAAAGGCTTTTTCGCATATGAAAATCCACAAATTGTTTGCGTAACATTCTTGCTTCCTCAGGATGCAATGCAATCTTTCAAATGCTTCACATATTATCTTTGTCCAAACAAGGCAATATTAGGCGATGGACCCAAACATTTGAATGAATGAGGTCAAAGGCACAGGGTACACGAGTCATGTGAGGAATATAATTAGTGCGTGTATGTTTAGCCAACTATCAAACCACACAATGAAACTAAGAATCCTTGCAAGTTTTATTTAAAGATGGAAAGAGTAAACATAAATATTGAAAATTTGCATGGCCCAAACGGGCATGTAAGCTAAAGTTTGACTCGAAAAAACACAAGACATTGACGCAGGTAAAACAAACGCCTAAAAACTAGATAAAGGAGGTGGTGGTGGTGGTAGTGAATGAGGATCCCTAAAGTAATACAACCCGTCGCGCTCATATTCCTTGCCAAAGCACGGCTGGTAGCCAAGGGCTTCACTCAAGTTTTGGGGGTGGATTTTGGGGCTGCCTTTACACCAGTCGCCAAGCTTACCTTTGTTAGGCTTCTTATTTCCCTTGTTGCCTCCCATTCTTGGCCTCTGCATTAGCTGGATGTCAAGAATGCCTTTCTGCATGGGGACTTACTTGAGACTATTTATATGGATCCTCCACCTGGTTTTCGGGCTGAGGGGGAGTATGCCGGGAAAGTGTGTTGATTGCGTAAGTCCTTATATAGGCTTAAACAGTCTAATCGGGCCTGGTTTAGCCACTTTAGCTTAGTTATTTTATCCGTGGGATTTGTTTACTACCACTCCGATCATACTTTCTTTGTTCGCAGAAATTCCATTAGTTAGTGTATTTTTCTACTTGTGTATGTTGATGATATCATTCTTACAGGTGATGATTCAATTGGCATAGCTCAAGTAAAGAGAGATTTGAATCAAGCATTTGATATTAAGAATATGGGTCCTCACAAATACTTTCTAGATATTGAGGTTGCTCGCTCTCATTAAGGGATTTCATTGCCCAAAGGAAGTATGTCATTGATCTTCTTCAAGCCACTGGTATGCTAGGGTGTAAGCCAATTTCTACTCCTATGGATCCTAACCTCAAGCTTAGATTAGAGTCTGGTGATTATTGAAGGATCTGGGCATGTATCAGCACCTTGTTGGCCGTCTCATATACTTGATTAAAACTAGACCTCACTTGACTTTTGCGGTTAGTGTTGTGAGTCAATTTATGCATGCATCTTGTAAAGAGCACCTTGATGTTGTTCATCATATTTTGCAGTATTTGAAGACTTCTCCTAGTTTGGGATTATTTTTCCTATCTTGTCATCAATCAGGGATCTCTTATTGTACTGATGTAGGATCTAGAACTGGTAGATGGTCCACGTCTGGTTTCTGTACTTTTTATGGTGTTCATTTTATATCATGGAAAAGTAAGAAACATGCCGTTGTTTCTAGATCTTTTGTTAAAGCTGAGTATCGAGCAATGGCAAAGGATACATGCGAAGTTTTGTGGCTTTGCTCAATTCTTGCAGAGTTAAGATTTGCTGAGGATGCTTCCTGTCAAAGATAACCAGGCTGGATCTGTGTGTGAGCTGGCCAAGCTGTGAATATTTGAATTTGTATTTAGATTAGTCATATCCCTGATTTATAGGGATTGTAGGGATTGTATTCTAGGAATCTCATTCCTGATTTGTAGGGATTAGCTAGCTATAATTTGTATATATAGTCTTTCCATGTAGATTTCTAAGCAATGAATATTATTCCCATCGTTTATCATGGTACCAGAGCCTCTTGTGCTCTCTGGGAACTAAAACTTTTTGTGGCCTGCATTGCCATACTTCGTTGTTCCTTCAACCTTTCGTTCTTCGACCTTCATTGCCAATTGTAGAACCTCTGTCTAGAAATTCTTCTTTTTCATTCCATTTTTTTTCTTCAATATCATCATGTCTGAAGTAACTCAAACTTCGAACCCATTTGAAATAGGGACAATCGAGACTCTTAGCATGGTTTCAACAGGAGACTTGCAGAATATTCAACCAAGTTACCAATTGAATGGAAAAAACTACCTTAAGTGGTCTCAATTTGTTCAAACCTTTCTTAAAGGGAAGGGCAAATTGAGTAATCTTCTCGGAACAGGACCAAAACCTTGAGATCCGTAGTTTGATGCCTGAGATGAAGCTGATTCCATGGTAATGTCGTGGCTATGGAACTCGATGATACCTGAAGTGAGTGATACGTGCATGTTTTTGGAAACAACAAAGGACATCTGGGACACATCTAAACAGACTTATTCGAAGGTTCATGATGCTGCACAAGTCTATGATATCAAGACCAGAATTTCAGTCACTAAACAGGGTAACCGTTCTATTACTGAATACTCTAATATCTTGCAAAGCTTATGGCAACAGTTGGATCATTATCAATGTATTGAGATGAAGTGCAGTGAAGACTACCATTCTTAAGAGGTTTATGGAGAAGGAAAGAATTTACATTTTCCTTGCTGGATTGAATGCTGAGTTTGACGCTGTCAGAATTCAAGTTCTTGGAAAAGAAGACTTTCCATCATTGAATGAGACTATTGGAATAATCCGAGGAGAAGAAAGTCACAGAGGAGTTATGTTGGAGCCTCAATCTGTGGAAGGTTCTGCCATGGCTGTTAGGGGTGCTAATGCAAGGAATAGGGGAGCAAGTCATCCACCGAGCTCTTACTCTAATGAATTGACAATTGAAAATGGAAACAAGGATTCGATTGTGTGTACTTTCTACAAAAAGCCAAGACACACCAGAGAAAAATGCTGGAAACTTCATGGCAAGCCTACAAATTTTCAAAATCCTCAAACAACCAACAGAAATTGGACAGTAAAGAGTGGACGAGCACAAGGACAAGGACAAACACATGTGACTATGGTACAACCAAGAGGCGAAATAGATTCTGTCCACAATCGAGTAGAGTTCAACATGGACGAGATTGAAAAACTAAAAAATTTATTGGGCACTCCAGAAAAACCTACGGGCTCAGGTACTTGCTCCTTAGTTTATCCAGGTAATGCCTCTCAATCCTTTACTCTCAATGTCTCGAATATGCCCATAACAGATTCATGGGTAGTTGATTCTGGGGCCACAGATCATATGACTAAGTCTTCTCATGAATTTGTCTCTTACAATCCTTGTCCTAGTAATAAAAAGATATCTACTGTAGATGGTACTTTGATTACTGTTGCTGGTCAGGGAGATATTGTTACCCATTCGAAAATTGTTTTAAAGAATGTTTTACATGTGCCGAAATTATCCGTAAACCTTGTCTCAATTCATAAACTTGCAAAGGATTTGAATTGTACCATGACCTTCTCTTCTGCACATTGTGAATTTCAGGACTGGGGCACGGGGAAGATGATTGGACTTGTTACAGAGAAACATGGACTCTACTATCTTGAAGAATTCAATGGGCAAATAGCACTACGAATAATTTTCCTGTCTCATTTCTTTATGAGTCATCTCTTTCAAATAAAAACAAAATCTGGTTGTATCATCTTTGTTTTGGTCATCCCTCTTTCAGTGTTCTTAAAATTATGTTTCCACATTTGTTTAACGGGATTGATATGGGTATATTTCATTGTGATGTTTGTGAGCTTGCAAAACACAAGTGTACTTCTTTTCCAATAAATAATGGAAGGTTGTCCATTCCGTTTGCTCTTATCTATAGTGATGTCTGGAGACCTTCTACAAGGAAAATTGGTCATCTTCTAGCAATTACTCGTGCCTTTCTATTCCAAACTAGTGTTCCAAAACATTACTGGGGGGAAGTTGTTTTAACTGCTGCTCATCTTATAAATAGATTACCCTCTCGAGTCTTTGATCAGAAAACTCCTATGCAACTTTTTTTCAACATTCTTCCCAGATTTTCAAACCACAAACAACCTGCCTCCTAAAGTTTTTGTTTGTGTGCTCTTTGTTCATATTCATTCTCATCAAAGGGGTAAACTTGATCCTAGAGCTCTTTAGTGTCTTTGTTGGGTATTCTTCTACCCAAAAAGGATATAAATGTTACCATCTTCCCACAAAAAGGTTTTTTTTTTTTTTTTTTTCCCCTCCGCTGATGTTACATTTGCTGAACGTGAAATCTATTTTTCTAAACCTTATCTTCGGGGGGAGACATCATTCATAGAAGATAAGGATAGAGATTTGTTCTTACTTGATCTTTCATTCTCCCCATCCCCATCTGTGTCAAATGAGTCTTCTAATCAAACAGATCCAGCCACTCCAAGTCCTATAGCAAAGGATAAAAGAAATAAAACCTGGGAATTGGTTGATGGATACCCTTAAAAGAAATAAAACTTGGGAATTGGTTGAGTTACCTAAGGAAAAACAAACAGTGGGATGTTGATGGGTCTTTACTGTAAAGTATAAGGCAGACGGATCACTTGAAAGGTATAAGGCTCGGTTGGTGGCTAAAAGGTATGCCCAAACCTATGGAATAGACTATCTTGAAACCTTTGCCCCGGTTGTCAAAATGAACACTCTGAGAATCTTGTTATCTCTAGCTGCCAATCGTGAGTGGAGTATGCAGCAATATGATGTCAAGAATGCCTTCTTACATGGCGATCTTTATGAGGAAATCTACATGAAAGTCCCTCCAGGTTTTGAGTCAAAAGGTAATAAGGTGTGTAAATTGAAGAGGGCCCTCAATGGGTTAAAACAATCCCCTAGAGCTTGGTTTGGTAGATTTACCGGAGTTATGATAGCTTTGGGATATAAGCAAAGTCAAGGTGATCACACACTATTTGTTAAACTTTCGGCTACAGGGGGAATCACTGCTTTGTTGGTTTATGTAGATGATATTATCGTAGCAGGGGATGACTTGGAAGGAAGAGAAGCTTTGAAAAGATGCCTAGTTCAAGAGTTTGAAATAAAAGAACTTGGCAGATTGAAATACTTTCTTGGCATTGAAGTTGCTCACTCTCAACATGAGATTTTTATATCCCAACAAAGGTATGTACTGGATTTGTTTGCTGAGACAGGGAAGCTTGGGTGTAAACCAATGGAAACTCCTAGCGAACAAAATCACAAGCTTTGTGAAGTTGTTGAAGGTGCAGTGGTAAATAGAGAGTCCTATCAAAGATTGGTTGGTAGATTGATTTACTTCTCACACACTAGACCTGACATAGCTTATGTAACGGGAGTGGTAAGTCAATTCATGCATAATCCCAAAGAGATCAGTCTCTAAGTAGTACACCGGATTTTATAGTATCTCAAGGGAACTTTAGGAAGAGGGAAATTGTTCAAGAAAGGAGGAAAGTTAACACTAGAAGCCTATATAGATGCAGACGATGCAGGATCTATTGATGATAGAAGATCAACATCGAACTATTATACTTTCCTTGGAGGAAACCTTATAACATGGAGAAGCAAGAAGCAGAATGTGGTTGCTAGATCAAGTGTGGAAGCTGAATTCAAGGCAATGGCATTAGGAGTTTGTGAACTTCTGTGGCTGAAAATAATTTTAGAAGATCTGAAAGTTGCGTGGAAATGACCTATGAAGCTTTATTGTGATAACAAGTCAGCAATCAACATTGCACATAATCCTGTGCAACATGATCGAACCAAACACATTGAAGTTGACAGGCACTTCATAAAAGAAAAGTTGGACAGTGGAATAATTTGCACACCGTTTGTACCTTCAGGCGGTCAAGTGGTTGATGTGCCAACCAGTGTTTTTAAAGGCGAAAGCGCAAGGCTTGTTGAGGTGAGGCGTAAGCCTCGAGGCGTTGAGGTGTAAGCCTTTTGAATTTTGATTTTTTTAATTTTTATAAAATACAAAATTAATTAAATATAGCATAAAAAGAGTAAAAAAAATAAGAATTACCAAATAAAATTCTTAAAGGCCATTCTAAGCATATAACCAAAATTAATTAATAATTTCAAGTATTGGCCTCGTTTGGGAAGTGGCTATTTTAGTAGGCTATTTTAATTTTTGGCTATTTTAGTAGGCTAAAATTTTTGTGTTTGGGAAGATGATTGGATTTTTTTGTGGTTGGATGTGATGTTTGTGAGAGAAAAAGTAAAATGATTATGGGTTTGATGTGATATTTTGTCTTATTAGCTATTTTAGCCTATTTTGTCTTTTTGTGATTTTTAGCCTAAACTAGGCTATATTTTTCTTCCCAAACACCCCTATTATAAGTGCTTTCTAAGTCATTCTCATTAATACTATAATAAAAAAATAACTTAAGTGATAGTCAAAAACTTAAATTTCAATTGTTCAATAAACAAAATAACTTAAAACTCTAATACTCTATAAACAAAGCAATAAATAAATAATAGGTCACTCTAAGTCATCCTCATTAATATTGTCATCATCTTCGTCCGCTATATCTATAATGGGATAGGTTCCATCATCTATTCCACCAACTTCTTCCGACTCCATATCTTCATCTGCAAGGGTGCATCTTGCTGCCTTGCCGTTTCCTCTATCATTTCCTATACAAGAAATAGGATTTCAAATTAATTAAATAGGCACATATAATAATATATATGCAACTAGTCCACAATTGTTTAACAACTTACTTGAACCTTCACAAACTTTTCTTTTCTTTGCATTCGAAGATGAGTCAATATTAATCGTAGTCGTAGTTGATCGATTCTCCACACTTCTATCATATGTAGTGATAGGCACAGTCCTAATTGCTTCAGCATCGAACAATTCTTCTTCATCAAGCCAAGAAGCATCAAGGGAGAGGACAGGATCTTCTTTTTCAGCAATCCATTCATCATCCAAATCAATTTCATCAATTAGTATTGGATCGATGTTTTGTCTTCTTCTGATACTCCTTTCTCTTAGTTTAGTGTTGTACTTCACATAGACCAAAGCATTCAAGCGTTTGTGGTCAAGCCTATTCCTCTTTTTTGTATGAATCTAATATAATAATATAAGAAACGAAATAAGAAACATGAATATTTTATTTTATGCATAAGAAAGTTTAGGAAAGAAAGATATATTACCGACTCAAAGGTGCTCCAATTCCTCTCATATCCCGAAGCACTACAAGTTAGACTAAGTATTCGAATAGCAACTTTTGTTAGCTCTGGTGTTTTACTCCCAAAATGAATCCACCAATCAGCTACATAATTTGAAAAATGCACAAATATTTTCAATCTCGTATTTTAATTTTATAGAATGTAATTAGAAAATTATTTTCATATTAGTTTCTTACGGGGAGAGCGTATCGCTCTGGAATCAATTGCAACACGACTTCCGAATTCCCCTTTTGCTTGATCATAATAGTCCAATTGGATATTAGCCTTGAGACGCTCATCATAACTCAGCATTCTATCCATGCACTGATACAATCCTTGCCTCACCTCCTCAACATTGGAGAAGGAATCTTGATAGTGCAACTGAGGGTTTAGATAATAACCAGCAGCATGTAAAGGTCTATGAAGTTGTGGTGTCCACCTTGCATCTATCTTATTCCAAATTGGTCCGTACTTCCTAACGTTTACTCCGCAATTGAAAGCAATCTTTTCTTTAGCCAAATCCATCAACTCATAAATGTAACCCATAGTAGGCCTTTCCTTTGAATCAACTTCTCGCAAAACACTAACCAAAAGTATCGTGCTTTTGATACAAAAAGCAACATTCGGCCAAAATTTTGGATCAAACAACACAGTTGCACGAGCCTTTACCCCTTCAACCTTTCTTGCCCAACTACTAGAAGCCCACTTTTCTGAAGAAAACATAGCTTGGAGTGGTTGCTTTTGTTTGTAAAGACTTTGGAGAGTAAGATAAGCAGTGGCAAACCGTGTTACTGCTGGACGGAGTAGTTCACTGTTCTTTGTAAATGATCTCATCATTGAAAGAACCCAACAATGTCCATATATAAACTTGACCACTTGCCTAGCTAACGAGAGAGTTTGGTCACAGACTTTCAATTTTCCAATGTCCTCCAACATTAAATCAATACAATGCGCAGCATATGGAGTCCAATACAACTTCTTCCTCTTCTCCATAAGTCTCGACCCGGCATTGACATAGTTTGAAGCATTATCAGTAATAACTTGAACAACATTATCTTCCCCAATTTCATCTACGACACTATCAAGATAGTTAAACATCAACTCCCCATTTTTTATAGTATCAGATGCATCAATTGATTTTAAAAACCAAGTTCCAACAGGGCTATTCACAAGAAAATTAATAAGAACTCTACTTTTCCCACCTATCCAGCCATCAGATATAATTGAGCATCCATATTGTTTCCATGCTTTCTTGTGTTCCTCCATCATGACATTTATATCCTCTACTTCTGCTTTAAGAATCCAAGTCCTCAATTCATGCATAGGAAGGGGGTTTGAAACCAGGTCCATAATTTGTAATTCCATCAACTGCAGCTACCCAATATGGATCATTCACTAAATTAAATGGAAAAGCTTTACAATATATAAAACGCCCAATCTTTCGACACACATCTTTTCTTTCTTCTTGTTTCCATTTGGAGTTCAGTGTAGATTGTCGTGCTTGAGAACTAGCAAATTTATCCATTGGACCCCTCACAAGACCTCAAGAAGATGATTGGTTCGAGGCATGAGAATGATGACTTATATTTCTGGGATACTGCAAGCTCTTCTACTCCTAGTTCTACTATTTTGAGTGCTACCTTGTCTCCCTTACAATGGCATTTCCACTTGGGTCATCTATCCTTGGCCAAGTTTAAGTTTTAGCTATTCCTGGTTTAAGTCTTGTGTCTCGACTTGAATGTGAAGCGTGTCAGCTTGGCAAGCATCACCGTAGTTCTTTTTCTAGTCGTAATATTAGTTGTGTGTTCGCGTCTTTTGATATAGTCACTTAGAAAATATGAAGAAGAAGAACTTCGAAAATATGAGGAAGAAGGAATATATTTCTGTTATATTCAAAACTTCTTATCTTACAAGACCAAATGACACTCCTTATATAGGAGATATTACAAACATCATTATAACTCATTATATGCCACTTACATATTATATATTACCACTATCATATTATATACATGCCACTATCTTCCACCAACACCACTATCATATTCTATACATGCCACTATCTTCCACCAACACCACTATCATATTATATACATGAACACAAATTTCCAGCAGATATATTATATAATATATATATATACATCACAGTCGGATAGACTACTACACTGTAGCTATATTATATAACATATATAGTGCATGAAACAAAGATAGATATATTATATAATATATATACATCACAGTCGGATAGATATAAGTTATGTACACATCACAGAACCAACGCGATAAGAGAGAGACAGAGAAGCGATGTAGAAAGCAGATCGAGAGAGATGAAGCCGAAAATAGAACGAGAGAGAGAAAGAGAGAGACAGAGACAGAGTCGACTCAACTCGAGAGAAAGAGAGAGAGACTGCATACCTTGAAAACCCTAGTTCGTTGAAGAAGATTAGAAGACTGATTCGAAGTTGTTGGACTCTGATTTGAAGAAGATCGACTTACATGGTATTTATAACTTCTTCTTGAGCTATTTTTGTTTGAATTGAAGTCATTTATAGCAATTTTCCATCAACTACTCTATCTTCCCTTTTTTGAATTTTGAAATCGAACTCTTCAAAGGCTTGCGCCTTGCTGTCGAAAGCGTGAAAAGCGCATGAAGCGCGACAAATGCTTACGCCTCTGATTTTGACACGTACACATAGCTGGGGTCTCGCCCCAAAAAGCACGCATCTGTGCGTTTTCCATACGCCTTGCCTCAAGTCGCGCCTCGAATACGCCTTTGAAAACCTTGGTGCCAACTAAAGGGTTAAATGGTTCAATCTTTTGGACTATTGTTGGCATGCTGGGAATGGATAATATCCACTCACCAGCTTGAGGGGGAGTGTCGAAGATAACCAGGCTGGATCTGTGTGTGAGCTAGCCAAGCTGTGAATATTTGAATTTGTATTTAGATTAGTCATATCCCTGATTTATAGGGATTATCTAGCTATAATTTGTATATATAGTCTTTCCATGTATATTTCTAAGTAATAAATATTATTCCCATTGTTTATCACTTCCTCCCCTTTGTTTTGTGATAATAAATCAGCTATTATGTTATCCTCTGATTTAGTACTTCATGAGCAGACAAAACACATCGAGGTTGACATACATTTTATTCGAGAAAAAGTTCGGACTGGTATTGTGAGCCCATCATTTGTTTCTTATTCTGAGCAGTTAGCTGATATGTTTACAAAGTCTATTGGCCCAACATTACTCCAGTCATCTATTGTCATTACTCTAGTCATCTATTGTCAAGCTGATTTTGCAGAATCTCTTCGCACCAGCTTGAGGGGGAGTGTTGGAATTAAAATCAATTAGGTCTTATTTTATGGCCATTGTTTAGGCCTTAATTTTGTTTCCTTTTACGTTATTTCCTATCTTGTAAACCTCTATCAGTATATATACACAAGCTAGTCTCCATTCTAGACTAAGCCATTCTATTTTCTTCATTCTTTAGAAATGGCCTGTTTTTGTTGCTCAATTGAGCTGTTGTGTCTAACTACACAACATCGGTTGACTGTGAACACCCACGTTATTGGACGCTGAGAAGAGTGTCAAAATTTTATAGTGGCTACTTGCCAAATTTTCAAAGTCTAGATGGTGCAAAGACAGCATGATTTATATGCTTATGTTAGTGAACGTCGTACAATGGACACATACAATTATCTATATTTAACTGTGAATTCTAGGCTCTGTTAATCCTCATTGGCGAGGGGACACTAATGTATTAAACCAAATCACATCTCTTTTATTTTGTTAGATTTGCATAGAAAGAAAAGAAAGAGAGGAAGAAAAGAGAGAGT